TACTCATTTACTTATAATTGCAACTTTACTTTAGAAATACTCTTAAAATTAATTAGCTAATTTAACCACAAAGACAATAAAATAAAACATTGAAGATGAAGGGAAAAAAGCTTAAATAAAAAACTTTAAAATTGTTATAAAAGATGAATAATTAATATTGGATTTTGATTGGGTTGTTATTTCAATTTGGATTTTGGTTATATTCAATCATTTCGGGTTTTAAATAACTATTAAGTTGTTGATTTTTTAAAATAAATTAAAATTGAGTCAAGTTAGTTCATTTTTATAATTATGTGTATTATATTGTTTTTAATTAAATTAAAATTTAAAATGAGTTAAAAAATTTATTTATATTTAATTTGAGTTTTGGATTGTTTCAAATTAGAGTTGAATAATCCATGTTAGTTTAGCTTTACTTTAATGATAACGATAACAAAATTTAAAATAAAATGAGAACACAATACAATAAAAATTTAAGTACAAAGGTAATAGAGATACTAATAATAATTTTAGAAGAAAATCCTTATACTCAAGTTTTGCAAAATTTGAAGGAATTTTTTTAAGATTTTGAAATTCGTATTGTAGAAATATTAATCTAGATCAATGAGTTTATAATCATTAATTTGTTAATCAAGTTATTAATATGTGGGTTGAAGGAAACAATTCAAATATTTTGTTTGAAAGAGATCATATCATAATTCAAACTCATTCATAAAGACAATATAATGTTAAAATTAATTAGGTTGTTATGATCCCTTATAATATTTTTTACTCTTTCCAGATGAAGAAATTGATTTGCATTTAATATAAAAAGAAGTCAATTAGAATGATGGAAATAAAAATAAAGCAACAATTAAAAATATATCATATTTTCCTTTATTAGAAATTTTTTATGGAAATGCAAAATATTCTTTACTCTTTCCAAATAGAGAAGTTAATTGATATTAAAATATCAAAAAAGTTATTTTGAATGATGGTAATAAGAATGGTAATAAGAAGTTAATTAATTTTATCCATACCCAATGAGAAACTCGATTTTACCCGATTGAGGATGTGGATGGGTATTATATTGTGAATAAGAGAATAGGGATGTGTATGATTTTAAATTTTTATTAGATACTGGTATGAGATGGGTGCTATATATATTTATATATAATTAATAAATAGATTTTTATTAAATAATATAGATTATTTTTTTAGATTAATTAAAATTAATATATTTTTATTAAAAAAATATATTAATATATATTTACAAAAAATTACCTAAATACACAAATTAAAAATAAAAACAGCTAAAAAAATTATGGTTTTTATTTTTTTAAAAAAAGCTATGAGATGTAGATGATGATAGATTTAAAATATCCATTAGGTATTGATACCAGGATAAATATAATATTAAAATCTGGAGATGGAGATGAGAAATTCTCTACCCTTTTCATATCCTACCAATTTACATCCTTACATGCATTCCTATAAAAATCTATTATTAAATATATGATGACACAAATTTTGTCAATAATATCAAAAGTATGTTATAAGATATCAAAAGATTACTAAAATTACATCAAAAGATTTCCCAAATTTTATCAAAATTACCAAAATTGTATCAATGCTTATCAAAATTATATCATAAGTTACCAAAATTATATAAATGGTTACAAAAATTTTATCAAAGGTTATCAAAATCAAAATTGTGTAAAAATTATAAAATTTTACTTATATTATATCAAAATCAAAATTAAATTATTAGGATTTATCATTATTATCATTGTATAAAAAATTATTTATTGGAATGAATTTTTAAAGATAAGAATTACACAATTGAATCTTGGTTATTAATAGAGTTAGAAATTTTATTTGGGGAGATTAGGATAAATTTACCATAAACCTATTTAATAAAAAAATTTTGTGAACAAAAATTCTAAATTTAAATGAAACAATAATGTTATTGTATAAAAAATTATTTTTTACTAGAACTGACATGCGTTTTCCTATAAGAATCTATTATTAAATATATTATGACACTAATTTTCTCAACAATTACCAAAAGTATATCATAAGTTATCAAAAGATTACTAAAATTACATCAAAATGTTACCAAAATTTTTAAAAAATTACCAAAATTATATCATTGGTTACCAAAATTATATTACAAGTTACCAAAATTATATAAAAGGTTGCCAAAATTTTATCGAAGGTTATCAAAATCAAAATTATATAAAAATATTCAAAATTTACTTATATTAGATCAAAATCAAAATTAAATTATATGTATTTATCATTATTGTCATAGCATAAAAAATTATTTGTTGGAATGAATTTTTAAAAATAAGAAATACACAATTGAATCTTAGTTACTAGTAAAAATATAGTTAGAAATTTTGTCTTGAAATATTAGGATAAACTTACTATAAAGCTATTTAATAAAAAAATTTTGTGAACAAAAATTCTAAATTTAAATAAAACAATAATGTTATTGTATAAAAAAATTATTTTATATTAGAACTGGACTTATGCTTTTCTATAAAAATCTATTGTTAAATATATGATAACATAAATTTTATTAATAATTACAAAAAGTATATAATAAGTTATCAAAATATTACTAAAATTACATCAAAAGATTACCAAAATTTTATTAAAAATTACCAAAATTGTATTCATAATTACCAAAATTATATCATAAATTACCAAAATTTTATCAAAGGTTATCAAAATCAAAATTATATAAAAATTATCAAATTTTAATTATATTGTATCAAAATCAAAATTAAATTATTAGTATTTATTATTATTATTATTATCATAGTATAAAAAATTATTTATTAGAATGAATTTTTAAAGATAAGAATTACACAATTAAATCTTAGTTAATAGCAAAAATAGAGTTAGAAATTTTATCTTAAAAGACTAAGATAAACTTACCATAAACCTATTGAATAAAAACAAATTAGTGAAAAAATTTTTAATTTAAAAGAAAAAATAATGTTATTGTATATAAAAAATTATCTTATACTAGAATTGAACCCATGCTTTCGTAGATGAATCTATTATGAAATATATGATGAGGTAGATTTTATTAATAATTTTTAAAAGTATATAATTAGTTATCAAAAAGTTACTGAAATTGCATTAAAATGTTACTAAAATTTTATAAAAAATTACCAAAATTGTATCAACAATTACTAAAACTATATCATAAATTACCAAATTATATAGAAGGTTAACAAAATTTTATCAAAAGTTATCAAAATAAAAACTATATAAAAATAATCAAAATTTTATTTATATTATATTAAAATCAAAATTAAATTATACGTATTTATCATTATTATCATAGCATAAAAAATTATTTATTGGAATGAATTTTTAAAGTTAAGAATTTCACAATTGAATTTTGGCTACTAAGTAAAAATAGAGTAGAAATTTTATTTTAGGAGACTAGTATAAAATTACCATAAACCTATTTAGTAAAAAATATTAATGAACAAAAATTCTAAATTTAAATGAAACAATATTGTTATTGTATAAAAAGAAAATTATCATATACTAGAATTGAACTCGCGTTTTCTTATAAGAATCTATTGTTAAATATATGATGACATAAATTTTATCAATAATTAAAAAAATATATCACAAGTTATTAAAAATTTACTAAAGTTACATAAAAATGTTACCAAAATTTTATCATAAATTTTGAAAATTATATCAATGGTTACCAAAATTTTATCATAAGTTACTAAAATTTTATCAAAGGTTATCAAAATCAAAATTATATAAAAATTATCAAATTTTACTTATATTATATCAAAATCAAACTTAAATTATTAGTATTTATCATTATTATCATTGTATAAAAAATTATTTATTGGAATGAATTTTTAAAGATAAGAATTACGGTTGTTAGCAAATATAGAGATAGAAATTTTATCTGTGGGGATTAGGATAAACTTATTATAAACCTATTTAATAAAAAACTTTAGTGAACAAAAATTCCAAATTTAAATGAAACAATAATATTATTGTATAAAAAAAAATTATCTTATACTACAACTGAACCCACGCTTTTCGAAGAATTTATTGTTAAATATATGATGACACATAGTTTATTAATAATTATGAAAAATATATTATAAATGATCAAAATATTACTAAAATTACACAAAAAAGGTACCAAAATTTTATCAAAAATTACCTAAATTGTATCAATGGTTATCAAAATTATATCAAAAGTGACCAAAATTATATAGAATGTTATCAAAATTTTATCAAAGATTATTAAAATCAAAATTATATAAAAATTATCAAATTTTACTTATATTATATCAAAATTAAAATTAAATTATTAGCATTTATCATTATTATCATAATATAAAATTTTTTTATTAGAATAAATTTTTAAAGATAAGAATTATACAATTGAATATTGTTTACTAGCAAAAATAGTGTTAAAAATTTTATCTGTAAACTTATTTATTAAAAATATTTAGTGAACAAAATTTATAAATTTAAATGAAACAATAATGTTATTATATAAAAAAAATTATCTTATACTAGAACTAAACCTATGCTTTCTTATAAGAATCTATTATTAAAAATATGATGATATAAATTTTATCAATAATTACCAAAAACATATCATAAGTTATTAAAAGATTACTAAAATTACATTAAAAGATTGTTAAAATTTTGTAAAAAAATTACCAAAATTGTATTAATAATTACCAAACTTATATCATAAGTTTTTAAAATTATATAGAATGTTATCAAATTTTATCAAAGATTATCAAAATCAGAATTATATAAAAATTATCAAATTTTACTTATATTATATAAAAATTAAAATTAAATTATTAAAATTTATTTTTATTATTATTATTATATACAAAAATCATTTATTAAAATAAAATTTAAATATAAAAATTACACGCGCACATGCCAAAAACTCGTAAAACAAATAAATATAAATACGTCAACCCGAATGGTCTGTCATGCTCCAAAGAAGCAAGGACGTTTGGCTTCTTTCCCCAGCTTAAGTGAATTCTAAAATTGAAAAACTTCAACCCTGTATTTCCTTGTTCTCCCTTTTTAGGGTTTCCGAGTATCGAAATTTTTGATTCTTTTAACATGCTTTTTTAAAAATCTTTTCAGGCAATTGGAGCAAGAAATGGAAACTATAATCAAGGTGTTACAACTTGGACCTTTCACCTTTGGGAATCATCGAGCACAAATTGTCCGCCGCCCAAATTCGCGGGGCAAACGCTACGGTTCATAGAGCCGTCGAGAATTGGCGGAGGAATGCAAATGTAGAGCAAAGAAATGGCATTCTGAAAGATTACATTCACCGGTAAACAATTATTATGCTGCTGTATTGTTTTGAATAGATGATTGATGGAAGCAAGTTTTGTAGTTTATGCTGTTAAGCATTCGAGCTGTAAATGGTCGATTTTGCCTTACCTACCGCTCTTGCTTTCATTGCTTATAATAAGGCAATTTATTCATTGATTTTTTGTTTATCCAACAAATTTATCACACAATGGGATGGACGCGTAGCTTTGCCAAAAAGGGGCAGCTGCATGGATGAAATCAGTTCAAGATCTTCATCAATAGGTAAAGATTTAGCCACGAAATTGTTTTTCTATTGATAAAATCCTGCTTTAACTCTGTTCTCTGCTGACCTCAAATCACACATTGATAAAGACATTAATGAAATTGTTTTCCTACTGATAAACAAATATGATTCACTGGAAAACCCAACACAAACCAAGTTCATATCAAAGAATCCTTAATGAAAGATCAGCATATCCAACCCGAGCTTTGTGTCTCTCAAAGAGATCTTGAAGTGCTTGAATAAATTGGCCTTGTACTTCAAGGACCTGGGAAACAGATTGATTAATGCATATGTTATTATTAATGCTAACTGTTGCAGTATCACAACAACTAGATCAGTCAATGGACGATCAGGTTTTTAAGTTACGAAAATAGTTCTGTTCACCAGTGCTCCCTGTAGATTGAAACATACAAATGTTTATGTGGATTTTAGTTTAATGTAGAAAGTAGTTTCTTTTCTCCTTTAATATGCCGAATCCTTGTTCTTTAGCAGCATTACTCACTGAGCAACAGGCATTTGCACGAAGTAAGAATTTTCAGTTTCATTATGTCAATGCAGGACTCGACAATAATAGTAAATTCTACCTATGGGACATTATAACACAAACCACTACTGGAAACCATACAGGAGTATCAATACCTCTTCGTCGGTAGGCCGTGGATTTTTCTTCAATTCAATAGGTTTGCCCACCACCACATGCATTGGATGTTGATAGGGTAAAGGAGTTCTGCAAAAAAAATTATTGATGGTTATGCATTTTAAACAGCTCAGTTAAACACATTGTACATTTCCCAATATTTAGACTTGGTTAAGGATTGTTTTGTAATTAATGCAAACAGAAAAGTTTTATTGGTAGTTTCCTTTTCACCCCTCTTTTCCAACTTTCGTAATGTCTCGAGAGTAATCAACATGCCATGTCATCAAGTTCCGTCGAGCTTCACTACCACTGACACACAAGCGACAGAAACTCTTCTTTTTTTTTTTTAATTAATTCTTTTTTTGAAATGCATTGCTTAGGGTATACAATAGGACAGGAGGAAACCATCTCTCATTGTTTTACCCTCTCCTCCCACCTGCCTATACTTGATTTGAAGATCCTCTATCTTCTTAAAAAGGATCATATTCTAGTAAACTTACCCAGAAGAAAATTCATTTAAATCCAAACAAAGGATCATCACTTACTATATCCTGCAAAGATTTCAATATATTAAACACAGTGGTAAATAAATTTTGCCAGCAAAAAATTGCATTTTTTGGAGGAATATCATAAGATGTTCCCAAAGATTTTCTTGACATCTTGGAGTGCACAAGATTCATCAAGTAACTTAAATTATATTATTCTTTTTGAAATGTAAAAATGTACTAAATTTTTATTCAACACAAGAACAAAAGGGCTCCTATTGAGCATACAAGAGAACTTGTAATTTTTGCATACCCAAAAATTCCCCAAAAGAATATGGGAATGAACTTGATAGCTCTGGCCAATTGCAGGTACAACTTCCCCTTTGGTTTCCACCACTTGTAGGCATGTGACTGAAGCACACGAGTAAGAAGCAAGAAAATTTGATTCAGGTGATGTAGAATGTGGAACTTGTTACAAAGACGACAATGGATAAACTATAAAAAAAACAAGTTCAGAAACTGACAGCTTTTAGATGGCGGATCAAGTAAAAAATTACAGGCCACGCAATAGTTGCATGCTTTTCGACTAGAATGGGTATTTCAGGTAGAAAGCATTAAATGAATGACGAATTATATGGTAGAAATGCTGAAATTAATGAATTTTGAAGCTGCACAAAAGTTGGGTCAGAGAAAGAATAGAGAAAAAGCAGAAAGTACCTGACCAAAGCAGAAAACTGGGACCAATGGACAGCCCATTTGCATGGCTATGCGAACAAATCCTTTTCGTGCCCTAAGGAACGCAACCTGTAAGGCAAGCCAAAATTGTTCGGTTACCTACATAAACAGATAAAAAAGAAGAGCAAGAAGGAAGGGGGAAAAAAAAAAAAACCCTTTTTATATTTTGGGTGTTGGAGAAAACTGATCATGATAAACAACTTATCTTGTAAGGGCTGAAAACCTCCTTCCTTCGGTAAAAAGTAAGAAGAGTAAAGAGTCAGAAGAATGAAACCTCAGAACCAAGCTCCATGTGGTATATCTCCTGCACTCCACCTGGCACTATAATACAACTGTAACCAGCATCTAATAGGGAATAAAAACTTTTCCTTGTTGCTGGTGAGACACCCAACCATGTCCATACATGCCTCAAAAATGGAGTGTAGAATACCTGACCATTCATCCATACATGTTACGGCTGAAAGAAATTTGTGTTGCAGTGTGTGAAATGTGTAGGATATGAGAGTTGGGGGTACAAGGTCTTACGATGCTGGTTGCAAGGACTTTCATTTTCGGAAGAGGCATGAACCCTGAAAGTTCAGCGAGCGTAACAACTCCAATTGGCCAAATTGAATGTGGCTCATAACCAAAAACTGCAACATTTACAACCTATGATTTATTAGTTGCTCAAGATCTGGTGCTTTACTTTGTTATTTATTTCTTTATTTATTTTTGTTTGTATGTTTGCTTACAAAAAGAAAGAAGCAGGAGAACTAAAAGTAAGCTAAGAAATATAAATATTGATGAAACCAACACTTTCTTGAGCACCGACGGGCAAAAAAAGTTTCCAAGGAAATTGATATAAGTGGCGAATAAAAGGCAGAGGAGATTCCTTTTTTATACTTTATACTTTATACTTTATGCTTTATGCTTTATATAGGGTATCTAGAACATAAGTAGAGCCTGAGTTACAAAAGCAAAAGAGGGGGCATTATTCACAATTTGCATAAAATCTAGACCTTTCTTATTTAAAGAATCCCTAAGGGTACCTATCATTAACAGCTGTCCTTTGTTTTAGTTTGGTGGGCTCTGGGGTTTGAGGGTTTGTGTCTCTTAATTGGATGAATTGGAAAGAGAAAAAGGAAGATAGATGGGCCGAGAACAGAACGATGGGAAAGAAGAGTTAAAAGGAATTAGGAGAGAGGGCATCCGTAAAAAAAAAAAAAAAAAAAGGAAAGAAATTCTACCATTAAGAAAAATTCCCTGTATATCATCTCTTTCCCCAAATGACCACAATTTTCAAACCTATTCTCCTTTCCCCCAAATCAACACAGATTTTCAGACCTGCATCCCTATTGCTTTTTAGTTCTTTCTTTTCTTTTGTTCTTTTTCCTGTTTAACCTTTCCTCTTTTATTTTAATTTTCATCCTTCGTCCACGATCAACCAATTTGAGGCTTTTTCCTACCAATTTTTTTTTTATTCTTTCGTAAAGTTTTAATGAATGGCAGTGGCATCTTAGTTAATGTTTTAGTGATCAGATTCGCAGCTGGTAACAACGCATGTAGTGTTGTTGGAAAAGAGAAAGAGATGGAGGAATAAATAGGGGAGCAAAAAGATGTAGAATATTTCTGCAAACATGACTTGAAAAGCATTTTTTCCCCCCCCCCTCCAAATGGGTTTTGAAAAAAAGAAAAAGTTTCTTTGTGGTGAGCCATTTTTTGTATGATGGATGAAGAGGAAGATGCGACAAAAAAATTGGGTTTCTAACAAAGGAGGTAACTGTTATTCAAACTTTCACTTTAGTTAGTGCTCTTTACCTTTTTTATTTTATCTATTGTCTTGCTATAATTTTTTGTTTGATTTACTTTTTAGAATCAAATCTGTTTAGCTGTACTTTTTCACTGTAGTTAATGCATCTCATACATTCATGTTCAAGCACTTTTCAAGAATCAGTCAATGCCAAATGAAGGTGTTCCGCAGTTTCAGAACTTTGGACGTGATAATTTTCGAGTTTTCTGATACAAAAGCCTTTCTTAGCATCAAAAAGGCAAAGATGGGGCTTCACTAATTGTTAATCGTAATATTGTTTCCCTGCTTGCTGACACTCTAATGTTGTGACACTGAAACTGTATACCCAAGCTTAGCCAACGTGAATCATGCTACTTGAGACCCACAAAACAGAATCTGCTAAATAATTAATCTGGGTTTTGTGTCCTTAATTCTCTCTTAACATGCATGTTTCAACTGCACGTGGAAGGTTACATAGAAACTTAAAACCGCATGTTCCACCATTGGAATCTGCTAACCGAACAAAGAATAAAAAAAACACTTGAATTCTTTTTATTTCTTTCAATTTAATTAAACGAATATAATACTCTAATTAGTATAGTTGTTTGGTTGATAACGCAGTTAAGGGATTTATAATCCTTTAAATAGCCGTGCATTAAATGCATATCTCCCTTTATGTTAGTAATAATTCTTTCTACATCCTGTTGCTTCTTAAGTTCTTACTGAGGTAAATATTGCATTCTTGAACAAAGAATAATGTGACTTACTTCCTGTTTCTTTCCAACTCGACAGTGATTTTTGTCTCTAATCATTGCAAGTATATAACTCCTGAATATTTTGCATATTTGAGAAGTCATTTTGTGATTTGCATTGCTTAATTAATATGTAATTTTGTGTTTTACATTGCTTAATTAATCTATAAGTGTTTTTATTTGAAAAAATTAGTTTCAACTATTTTTTTAATCATCAAGCTTTATTTGGATGATTTTGCTTCGCAATTTATGTTGATTATTCCAGAATTTGATTTTACTACTCTAAAGATTTAAAAAAGAGGAAAAGTTTGTTGTTTTAACTTGAAAGGGTTCAAAGTCTTTGCTTTGGTTGGGAAAGGAATATGGTTGTGGTATGAATTTGTGCTCTCCATTTTGCAATCATTGAAGGTTATTACAAGGCAAATGTATGAAACATGGAAAATGAGAATTTGCAAAGCAACTAGTTCCTTTGATGATTGTTTCATATTTTGTCACATCTTTTTGTGTAAAATTAACTTCATAGCTTCAATTAGCTTAATACTTTAGAAATACTAATAAATTATTTTGTGTATTTTACATATTCAAATGTTATTGGTCTTTTATAATTTAGATTCGGGTCATGGGAAAGTAAGAAAGCAATGATGTACAATGATATTGTACTGTTAAATTGTAATGTCAACTATACAACTCTTTCCAGCCCAATTCAAGGAGGACAGGTTTGTGAGATGATCAAAAGTGTGAGGTTTTTGGGATGCTATTAGATTATTTTGCTAGCTTATTTAACATAATGTACATATGGCATGTGTAGTTGTTCATTTGACTTTTAGCTGTGCTTTTAAGTATAAGCATTTGAACTGCAATTGAAATAGAACTGTTGGTTTAGACATGACATATTTAGAGGTAGGCCTCACCACTTTCATTGTTTAATTACATTAACTAAGCGGAGAATGCTACATGTTTTTCTTTTTTGCAATTAAATATTCCAATTTAAAGCATGCTAGAATTTGCTTAAATGGGCTTTCAGGCAAGGAAGTGAACATGTAAACTCTAATGTACTGAAATTAAATGACTTTCATTGGTATGGCTTCTTCTAGGTTTAAAGTCTTTCGGAATCAGTGGAATTTATATTTTTGCATTGCAAACTATACAAATAGGTATGAGATATCTTATAGTCTTATGTCTTCTCTAAAGCATTTTCACTTAAATCGGATTGAAGCTTGTGATAGAACATGTATATACAGAAATTTTTTATGGTTTATTCTACAAACATGCAATCAAAGTAAAAGAAACAGGAGTGGAACTAAATTGCTAGGCATTAACTGAACTCTCTGAAGAATAATTTTTTGTGATTTTAATTTTTAATCAAAGGTTTATGAACAGTTCTAAATTCCAATATCTTCCATACATAGTACTTAATTAACTTTTCACACATTTATTTAAGTGAAAACCTCCATCTTGATATCTTAATGGTTCCTACTTGTATTTGCTGCAAAAATGATGTTTGTACATTTTGTTGGTTAATGGCCAATATTATAATGCATTAAGTTTCAGTTTCATATAAAAAATCAAGTTCAATCAGCGCAACACTTTGAATAACTCAAATTATATGTTATGGTAGGTATGTCTTTGTCTCTCTCAGCATTCTAAACAACAGCATGGTTCTAATGTTGTTTCACAAAGTTTGGATTACATAAACTCCTTTTAGTTGTTCAAATGTAAGCTGATGTTGATTCTTATTGCATTCTAACACCACGTTTTCCAATTTAAGCGGTATCATCATATAAACTCCTAATTTATTCTGTATTTTCCAGAGAAGATCTTTGGTTTTTCATCATAATACATTGTTATTTTGAGAACACTTACTACGAGATTGTAATGGATTATCTCTCTCGGGTTCAGTCACTGAATTAAACTACAAATCATGTAAAACACTAACATTTCCAAACGTGAATACATATTACCCTGTTTACTGTCATCTTATTTTAACATTTGAGAATAACAGTCCGCAGCCAAGCGAGAGCTTTTCACCAAAGTAAAATTTAAAAGAAGAAGAAAGAAGGAAACGAACCGTAAGCACGATCGGGATGGAAGGCGTGAATGTCCTCAACGTGGAGAGCGGTGGGAAAATAACTGCAAAGATGCTTACATATATACCTGTTCATAGCCATTATTATTAAACATACAGCCAATTAATTAATTAAAAGTTAAAGCAATAGCATAATAATAAGAGAGCAGAGCAGTAGTACTACTACCTGGCCAACCTCCGCCCAAATTTACTTTGAGGATCGATAGGAAGAAACACGAAAACCAAAAGAAATCCAAACACCCTGAGAAGAAATAAATGAATTTGGTCATTTAAATTCTTATTTCCAATAAAAAAATAGAAAGTAATACTTAAAGTTTAAAGGATTAAAGGGGAAAAGAAAGAGGACGAACATAAGGAATTTAGAAAAAGGAAGGAAGAGAAGCGAGAGAAAGAGCAAAAGGGCGTCGAAATGAATAGTCCAAAGCCATAACCCAATAGCTAATATGCCGTGCATCATGTTGGAGGGGAATTCATGTCTTCCACTGAATTCCCGATATCCAGGTCCAAGTCCAGCCGCCTTCCTCTCGTCCCTTTCTGCCCCCATCGTCCAACGCCTCGATCCAATTGCTGCCGGTTTCAACCGCACCCACCGATTTCAACGAGCCCTAAATCACAAATCACACGACACTTCCCTCTTCGTTCTTACCCTCTAATTTTGATATCACATGCTCTGGAATTGTTAGCACTGCTCACGTTAAAATTGTCGTCCCTTCTTTTTAATAATAAAAAAAAAAAACTCGTTTCGTCATCTACGCTCCACGTCAATCTGTGGGTGGCAAATCCCCCGTCAGAAGGACAATGGAACGAAGTTAAAATAAAGTAAAAGTGTTAATCCTTTTTACATGGAAAAAAAATGGATTTGGCTTTGGCACTCAGGTGACACGAGTCACGCCAATGGATTCGATTGTTTTGAAGGTCGCCATTTTTGTCAAATCATTTTAAATTTAAATTATTTTTAAAATATTTTAAATTTAAATAATTTTGTGTTTAAAAAATTTTAAATTCAGATAATCAAAGATTTTGAACAATGTAGATTTATATAATTCCGAATTTAGTTCGTCTCTAAATTAGAACAGATTCCAGTAAGTGTTGAAACATTTTGAAAATGTTATAAGTTATAAATTATTTTTTGAAAGGATGAAAAATTGATTTTGTTTTTTTATAACATAATTACTAATTAACTTAAGGGTTAATAATACCGATGGTTTTTAAATTTTGAGTTAAATTTTATTTTAATTTTTAATTTTAAAAATTTTAATTAGATCTCAATTGTTTAAAATTATATTATTTTAATTTTTTTATCTATGAAATTATTTTAATAAATCGTAACGGCCAATTCACGTCATGTAGATAATGTTAAGTGACATCTTATGTGACAGATAAAGAGTTCAAAATAAAATTTCGTTTGAAATTTAAGGATAAAAAATTATATGATTGTAATTTTTTTATTTCAAATATATTTTATGAAATATTAGTTTAAAATATTATTTTTTATTTTAATAAATTTATTAGTTAAATATTTTTGTTGTTAAAGAAAATAGATTTTCAAAAATTAAAATTAAGTTAAAATTTTTAAAAATCCTTTTGAAAAATTCGACAACATATTAAAAAAATAAGTGCAAATTTTTATATTGAATTAAAATATTAAATAAAAAATCTATATCGTTTTAAAATATTAAGTAAAATTTTTTATATCATTTAAAAAATCAATTTATTAGTCTATCTATAATAAATTTTATAAATATATTCTTTATTAATCTATTTTGAATATAACCTTTATTAAAATTTTATATTTATAACAAATGAAAAGAAAAAGAATTATAACTGTCCTTATCTTTGACGATCTGATAAGAGAAAGAAATCAAATTATTTAAAATAATATCTTTTATTTTATATAAATATAAAGGTTTTAATATAAAATAATTTTTTTATAGAAAATAGATTAATAAATCTATTTTTTAAATGATATAGAAATTTTACTTAATATTTTAAAATGATATGGAGTTTTATTTAATTCTTTAAATTGATATAGAAATTTTTACATAACTTTTTAAAATGATATAAAATTTTTTAAAAAAAGATTTCTCAATTTTAAATTAATTTTAAATTTTTAAAAACTCTATTTTATATTAAAAATATTATTGATAAATCATACAATAACAACAAACTAAGCCTTATATTTCATAAATATAGGGTCAATTATATGAAATGCCCAAAAAAAAATCATGTTTTGAATCTTCTTGTATCATTCATTTTTATCAAAAATAACATTTCATCTATTTTTTTAACTTTTATATCATTTCTTATTACTTGCATCCACGTCTTTCATGGTTTAGTTTTAAAAATTTTGATCTTTCATAAATCAAGAAGCTCATTTGTCTTAATTGATGCATAGATAGGTTTATGTTTTATATGTTCAAGCCATCTCAAATGGTTCTCTTTCATCTTTTTCTGAATTTGGACTATCCCTAATTTTTTTTTTTATTCTCTTCATTTATGATTTTATCACTTTTAGTTTAACATATTTCTATCTAGGCATTCTTATCTCAACTATACTAATTTTTTTATCATGTTGTTTCTTCTCATGTTGTTTTACACAACACACCCGACACACTACGTCATTTTACTCATTTTGCTTGAATCTTATAATATACATTTCTTTCTATCTTAGCATCGTTCTAAATTATTGATCCCACATATAAAAAATGACTATTCTTTGGTATTACATTACCATCTAACTTAACCACATTAACATTCACTTCCTTATCACTATTAAACTTACATTTCATTTATTTAGTTTTAAAATCTACTCAATTTAAAGCCTTAAGACTCCAGTATATGTCTCCACAATTCTAATGTTGCATTAAGATCATCATTAGTTTCAACAACTAAGATTATATTATTGATAAATAACATACATCATGGCCTGTTATCTTGGATGTGTTCAGTAAACTCATCCATAACTAATGTAAAAGAAATAAACTTAGTGTTAAGCCTTGATGCAATCCTAAGATAATGGAAAAGCTATCAATTAAGTCCTCAAACGTCCTCACATTTGTTACAACTCCTTCATACATATATTTAATTATGTTAATGTACTTTAAAGGAACTCTTTTCTTCATTGAAGCCCATCAAAACATTCTTTTGGGAACTCTATCATATACTTTTCAAAGTCAATAAATATCATATGTAGATATTTCTTTCTTACTTGAAAACCCTCCAACAAAAGCCTTAATAGGTGAAGTGCCTCTGTTTTAGAGTATCTTAGTATAAACTTAAATTGGTTTTTGAAAATAATGATTTCATGTTGCAACCTATATTCAATTACTCTCTCTTAAAGTTTTATAATATGACCGTAAACTATATTCATCGATAATTCAAATAATTTTGTATAACGTGTTTATTCTTGTATAAATACACTAGAATACTCTTTTTCCATTTTTCTAGCATCTTTTGAGTATATCAAATTTTATTAAAAGATGTGTTAACCATCCTATCCTTATTTCACCTAAGCATTTCCAAATTTCAATTGAGATTCCATCAGGTCTTATAGCTTTTTTTGCTTTCATCCTTCTCAAAACCTCTTTAACCTCATACTTTTTAATATTACGTTTAAACATATGATTTATATTCTTAAAAGGTATGTTAAACTTATCTATATCATGCAAAAATTTACCATTAAAGAGATTATCAAAATAATCTCTCAATTGTTTCTCAATCTCCTTATCCTTCACTAAAACTTTTTCGTCATTGCCTTTGATAATTCTTATTATGCTTTATCTTAACAATGTTGAACAACTTTTTTCTTTATCTCTTGTCTTTAGTTTTCTATATAATTTCTCATAGATCCTAGTCTTTGAATCTTGAATAACCTTTGTGGCTTCTTTTTTTGTTATTTTATACTTCAGATAAATTTTTTCGTTCCTTTTACTCCTTAAATTTTTATAACACTCCCATTTAACTTTAGTTGTCATTTTCACATCCTCATTCCACCATAAAGATTCCTTTCATAATGTTATGTGATCCCTAGATTCGCCAAATGTCTCTTTAGCAACCTTAGTATTATGGTAGAAATTTTGTCACACATTACTTCTACATTCTCATCAAGTTCCCAATAAACTTTTTTTACTAGTCATCTTCAAAAACTAACATTTAATAATACATGGTTCATAACTCTGATGTATCTTCTTCGACCCTCAAAGGTGAAAAATATCTAGAATTAGTAATCTATTTTATGTTGTCACGCTTTCACTCAACATAACCTTGTAATATTTATAGCTACTTTTATTATTTTTCCTTGTAAAAAGCAAATCAATTTGACTAACATTTGATCTACTCCTAAAAGTCACCAAATATGATTCTTTTTTCCTAAAATACGTGATTGTTAGCTCAAATGCAATAGCAAATTTTAAAATATTATCTCTGGTATCATTTTTTTTCCAAAGCTATATCCTTTATACATCCTTTCAAAGTCATTATAATCATTGTCTATGTGACCATTTATATCTCTTCATATAAACAACATTTTTATTTTAAATAAAATATAAATTAAAATTAAAAATAAAATATATTATTTAAAATTATAAAATTATAAAAATATATAAAAATAATATAGTATTACAATCTTGCATTGTTATAAAAATATAAAAATAAAAATATTATCTTAAATTTTATTTTTTAAAATATAAAAACTAATTTTTTCTTTAATTATTTTTTATTGTTCTTTATTTTTTTCCTTTTTCATTATAAAATATATTTCAAAAAAGGAAAAGATATTTAATATTTTTAATAAAAAATATATTTTTTGATAGAAAATACTATTTTCTATTATGATTTATCAATAGAATGATATTTTAATTTAAAATAATTTTTTTAAAAATGATATGGAATTTTTTTAAAACAAGGATTTTGAGATGTTTCACTTAATTTTAATTTTGGAAGTCTATTAAAAAAAACTAAAAAATTATATTATGATAAAAATATAAAAAATATTATTTTAAATTTAATATTTAAAAATATATCTAAAATATAAAAAATTCAAGATAGTAACTTTTTCCCTAAACTTTGAGTGAAATTTTATTTTGGTCCATAATTCCTATGTTTGCTATATAAGATACAAATTGACACTATCCATATGGTGCCAGCTAGCATTTATCATTAATTTAAATTGATTCATAGATGGAAAAGCCAAAATAGGATAACTTTGGATAATTAGAGATTCATTTAGAATTTTTTAAAGATTAAGGACCAAAATAAAATAGGACTTCAATTTTAGAGATTGCATATGCTATTAACTCTTAATCTAATTTATTTAAGCTAAAAATATGATAAAAATACTAAAGTTAAAATTTTAAAAATAAATTGATAAATATTTATATAAATATAAATTATATGATAATTTTATTTATACATTGGGTCACAATATTTTTATATTTAAAATTTGTTCATTATTGTTTAATATATTCTTTAAGTTCAAATAAAAAACTAATTATAGAAGCTTGATATATTTGACTGTTACATGAATAAATGGGAATTTATATATTAGATTTGAATGCAAATAAATTTGGTTTTGTATTTTGTTATTGAAAAAATAAAAAATGGATTAATGGTTAAAATATAATTGTGTTAATCTTTTCATTGTAATTTGTTTCAATTACAATAGTAAAAGGGAATAAAATTTTCATTTAATGAAGTCAAAATAGACATAAAAGTCATATTCAACTCAAAATGTAACTTAACCTAGAAAATAAAAGGGTTTTGCATTCCCACTAAAATGATCCAAAATTACCACTTTAGATATTCTTACATTTCTCAACACTCAAAAATATTTTGGAACCAAATGGGAGTAATCTCATGATACAAAATAACATTATGACCAGTAATGTTACATACCCAGAACCAAACATCCCCTTAAAAGAAAGTTGGAAAAAAACTTAAGTTTTTCTTTTAAAGGTCATTAAGTTTGGATTATTTAACATTTCTAACTGAAATGATATATTATATAATGACATTACCTGCTTTGTTCAAAAACAATCTCAAAAGTCAAGAATATGTAAGAATTATTTACATGGCCATTTTAGGTAATTTTGGTGGGAATCTAGAATCACATATTTATCAGGTGAAGCTACATTTCACTCATGCGAGTAGTGTGATTTTCACCTTTAGTGCTAATCTTAGTGTTGAGATTCATTAATTGATTAAAAGTTGTCAATCAATTTACTTATATCTCAAGAATTGATATCGATTTTAAGGTTAGAATCTCCTATTTATTAAAGAACTTGATTATGAGGTTGGACATGAAATATTGGAGGAATCAAAACTCTAAGGTTATTTTTGAATTGGGGTAAAAGGAGATAAAATAAAGGAATGGAAAGAGGGAAGCATTTCCTTTGTTTGTGTATCATATAAATTAAAATAAAAGAAAAGGGGATGATGAGCCTCCTTCACTTTCTTTCACTTTTCAATTACCCCAAATCGAGGAAAAAGTTACAGAAAGAAAATTATGAAATGACTACCATATTCTTATTATTTTCTTTAAATTTAAAATAAAACCTTTATTTACTTTCAAATTTACCATTGTCAAATCTTTTAACAACATCTCATCAATTTTCAAAATCTTAATCTTTATAACATAATAAGAATATTTAAGAGTCCAATATTTACACAAAATTTTAATTTTTTAAGCTAGAAATAGGATGATGATTAAAGACATGCTACTAGTGGATATAAATAATATTAAGTATTTACTTTGTTACTAAACCTATACCACATTTTACAAAATAATGGAAAAATCATCATATTTTGTACTCCCACTATTTTAGCCTAATAAAGTATTGTGTTCAACAACGCAAATGGCCATTTGATGATTACTTTGGAAACAATTGAAAAAATGTTCGATATATATAAATATCATAGAAAAAAGTTGCGCACAAATAATTTTAAATTTTATTTTTTTTAAAAAATTAATACATATACTTAATTGAAGTTTTTATTTCTTTTTTTCAATTTTTACTTTACTTAAAATAATTTGTTATGAACAAAAGTTTGGTATTTGTTATAATTTTTTTCATTGTAAGTCCAACATAACATAAGAATAATAAAATGTGTAATATAAAAAGAAATATATGTAAAAAATAAAATGCTTATTTTGACACTATGTTATTTTATAAAAGAAGGTTATAATTGAAAAAAAATATTAGATTGAATCTTTTTTTTTCTTTCTACTTTTTAACCAAATAATGGTTATTGAAATTCATTTCCTTTATTAATTTTAATTATTTAAACAATGGTTATGTGTATCTTTTTTTTTTTCTTTAAAAAACCTTATTTTCCTTTCCATTCATTTCCTTCGTTAATGTTTATCCTAACATAGGCTAAATTTTGACTAGGATAAACCTAGCCTCTATTTTTTACTTCAAATCATACCTGACTAGTCAGAAATTAAAGAATATAGATATTTGATTTATTCTTAATGGCATGCAATTTATGAGTTAATTACATATCTTGTATTGTTATGTATGCAATGATGGATCTTAATATTTGATTTTGAAGGGTTAATTAATATTATACTGAATCTTAATTTTTTTTATTAATATATCTTGTTATATTATTAATATAAATATATATACAAGAAAGTTACTAAAAAATTACAAAATTATAAATTTTATCAATTCATAAAAAATATATAAAGAAACATTATACATCAAATAAATAATTTTACTTAAAATTGTGAATGACTTTTTTTGTTAAAAAAATAAAGAATCAATTTTTAAATAATATGTTTTCCATAAAAAATATAACATTAAAAGAATAAAGTTAAAATTTTAATATTAAAAGTTATGACGTTTTTTTGACCTTTTATAAAATAGTTTTAATTTAATTTTTGTATTAAAAAATTTTACAATAGCAGGAGAAAAAAAAAACATGTTTGGTATTTGGTATTTGATTGTAGACTTAGAGTTTAACAATCCAAGTAACAGGGCAATACTGAGAGGTGATTGCTGGTGATGACAATTACAGATCAATCCATTGTATCATATTTTTAAAAGTTTTATTCTAAAAAATATAAAGAAAATATGATTAGAGTGTAATGAGAATTAATAAGTATTACTAATTTATGTAAAAATAAAATAAAATGTAATCATAATATAATCATATTATATAAAATAAAATATAATCATATTATATATATATATCACTAATTTTTTTACAAGAAAATTTTGGGAAGAAAATAAAAAACCAAGCTTTTTTTTTAAAGGAAAAAATTAGGGTAAATTTTATTTAATTTTTTGAGTTTTAAGTATAATTCAACTCAAATTTATTAGTTTGAAAAATAGAAGCTCCATTCCAAATTTTTTAATTAATAGGACAAAAAAATTCTTCTGTCAATTATCCCTTAATTATTCTATTAATAGTCTCATTAAGAGATCATTTTACCCTTAAAAAATCAATATGCTAAAATACTCACATAAAGTAATATTTTATAATAATAAATTATTTTTTCATTTTTTTCAAAATACATAAAATACATTAATAATATAAAATTTTTTTTTAGACGTAACATATAAAAACAAAATATACAATTATAAATATGCTAATATGTAAATATGTATAATAAAATGAATATATTGAATATGTAATAATTTTTCGGCATGTAACAAATTTAAAAAATGAACATGTAGGATATAATAAGAAAAAAAATGTTTGGTTGAAAAAAAAAGGAAAGGTTTGGTTAAAATTGTTACATGCTTAATATGTTCATTTTGTTATAAATATATTTACAAATTAATATATTTATAATTGTAAATTTTGTTTTTATATGTTGTACATAAACAATATTTTTTATATTATTAATATATTTTATGTATTTTGAGAAAAAAATAAAATAATTTATTATTATAAAATATTACTTAATGTGAATATTTGAAAATATTAATTTTTTAAGAGTAAAATAATATTTTAATGAAGTTTTTAATAGAATAATTAAGAGATAATTGATAGAATGATTTTTTTTGTCCTAATAATTGAAAATTTTGAGATAGGGTATTCATTTTTTAAACTAATGAACTTGAGTTGTCATATTTAAAATTCAAGGACTTAGATAAAATTTGTCAAAAATAATAAAGAAATGTTGAGATAAAATGGTTAATGTAATAAAGCCGAAGCCCAGAGGCCCAAAACCAAAGACATAAAACAAATAAAGCCCCGATTAGCCATTGTTTGCTGAAGACTGAAGAAGAAGAAGTAGTAATATCTTGTAGATTTTGCGGCCGCAACACAAAAAGTGAAAAAAGGAAGAAAATGGCGTCCAACGGGGCGGTGCCGTTCTGGCGTGCAGCCGGCATGACTTATATAACCTACTCGAACATATGCGCCAACCTCGTCAGAAACTGCTTGAAGGAACCTTATAAGACTGAAGCCCTTACTCGTGAAAAAGTCCATTTCTCCATCTCCAAGTGGACCGAAGGAAAGCCTGAAAAGCCCAGTATGTCTCTTTTCCTTCTTCATATATCAGATCTGGGTTTTCGTTTTCGTTTTCATTTCTGATTCTTTTTATATAATTTCATTGTTATTTTGATAAGACTTTTGGATGATTATTAAAGAGGTTTTTTGGCCCCTTCTGATTGTGATTAATTTTATATCTGTTATGCAGGAGTTGTTTCATAATTTTTTTTTTTTGAATCTGTTTAATGTTGCACGTTTGATTGTTAATTTTGTAGCAAAAAGAAAAAAAATTCGGGGAGAAAGAGACACAAAAATGAAATAAAACTGAAACCATAAAATATTTGAATTTTGGGATCCTTTTCTTGATGCTTTTGCTATTTGCTTCTTTAAAACTTGCTCCAATGCAAAGCAATAATTGATTAAAAATAAATAATTGCCTAAGTTGAATCCCTTACATCAACTAAGTTGTTTCCTTATTTTCCTCCCTCTTTTGGAAACAGTATGATGAACAATGGTCTTCTGCTATGTTTAGTGTTTTCAGATTTTCGTTTCATTCATTTGTCTTTTGCATCTGCCATTTAGGTTGCCGATTTTTAGCCGCTCTTAGCTACAGTATTCTTAAGACATTCAGGCGTCCAAACGCATTGTTTGCTGGAGCACTTGCGCTGAGTTAATGAACTCTTGAAGTCAACTTTGACATAAATTCTGTAATATACTGCTTGATCACACAAGCTCATATTTTGCCGGGAGGGGGGGTTACTTGACCTAGCCAGCTGAATCAAGTGCTCAGACCAAATTGGATCAACTGAGTTTTACATATTTGAATCCTTGTTAGGTCTGACCAATGACTTGTCTCTCTGGCCTAGTTGTTTGACACATTGGTCTACTTTAAGTCTTTGACACTTAAAACAACTTTCGTGTCCTTGATATTATCTATTTGGGTGAAGTCGATGGATTTGATGTGATGAAATTTAGTTTTTTGTGAGAGAGAAAAATCTTTCCATTTATGTTTGAGAGGATTGTGTGGGATATTCAACTTAATTTTAGATTAGTGATATCATGGTTAAGGTGACCTAGACAGCTTTTATATCTTTAATGAACACTTATTGGTTTGGAATTCAATTTAATATAGGACTTTTAGCTTTGAAGCTTATTTGCATGTTGGGCGCGAAACCAGCGTCATATGGCAATTGCAAAGTATTTTCATTCTTTCCTACAATGCTGCTACCATCTTTATTTGGGATGATGTATGAAAAGGAAGTCATGTTTATTATCTGCTTCAGATCTATAATATCTATTTAGCATTATCTAACTCCTTTATTATCTGTTTTGGGTTGTATGATTTGCTCAGTTTCTGTATATATCCTTTTGCCCATTGTGTTTCTTTTCTTTGTCAGACATTATTTATCAGGGTAGTTGCAAAAAACACTTTATGATTTGGTCAAATTACATTTACATCTTTCGTTTAGCAACAGCTGCACTTCTTCTCTTGGATCATGACAGATGTAGTAAAATGAATGTGAGCAGATACTCACCATATATGGTTAAAAAGATAGTAGAATACTTATATCAGTAGGTGACATTTGACTAGTGCTCTCCAGACCCAAGGGAATAATTGCAGATATTGCAACATGCAAGGGTGTAAACTTTTGAACTGTCATTTTGTCACTTACCCAACTATTGTCATTGGCCATGTAATTCCCTCTAATAATAGATAGTATTCGCAGATTTGCTCAAATTTCAACTTGTCTTCATTGTTTTCGGTCTTTCCTTCTGTTGTGGTTGTTTTAATCTCTTTTCAAAATAAAGCTTTTTGATATCGCTAGTTGTCTGTTAACAAGTATATAGTGATTTCTCTTGTTGCTTTGATATCAGCTATCCGCTCAGATTCTCCTGAAGAATGAGTTGCATGGTTGGTCATTGAGGTCTCTAGACTGGAAGGAGTTTAATCTATTTTTTTGTAATTTTTCTGTAATGTCCAAAGCATGTGGACAAATTTCAAGCTTTGAGATGATTCTGCATTTTCATAATAATGTACTTTGCAAATAAACTGAAGTTGGTCCTTCGTGGAAGTTCTTCTGTCAGGTTTTTTCAGCTGCACCTTCAAAAACATTGTCTTGTTTTAGGGGTGTGATTGTGCTTTATGATTTTTATGATTATTGGTGGAATGATTCTTCGTGCATGCCCACTTGCTGTGTGTGGAATGGTCATATTTGGTCTATTTGTTGATTAAATCCATCTAATAGGTCCCATTAACTTGTTGATTTGGTATGAATGATGGCTGAAATTAGAACTTTTTTAGGTACTGATTGTACTAAAGGAAAATGTTAGTATCATTCATCATGTTCACTAATCAAAGGTTAAAAACTACACCAATATTATAGTAATCTTTGTCACTTAATTTTGGTAAGTTTCAGATTTTTATTTTATATTATTTTTATATCGTTATTATTCTTTACAGGTTGATCTGAAAACTTAGTTGTCTAATCATACTTTTAAAAATCTTGGATCCATCAAATGATTTGTGCAATTGAACAAGATGATATGCAAAGATAGCAGTTGGCCAGCGTGTTGGAAAACAAATCCTTCTACAGATAATTCCAAGCTAACCTGCACAAAATGAAGGATATCCATTCCAATTTAAGCTAAAATAGTTTTCCTTATGCCTTTGTTTTGTTATGAAAATCAATAAAGCTCGAGGGCCAAGGTACAAACAACATGGTCTTAATTTTTTTATGCTTTCTTAATAAAATTAATTTATTTAAATCGACTTATAGAAATTAACCCATGTAGGATTGAAGAATGGATAGCATTGGTCTACAATACATCTAACTTTTCAATATTGTAAATAAAAAAAAATTAATTATGATTTGAAGTTCTCATTTTTTTTGTTATAGTTCTTGAATTATCATAATACTTGTTATATTTTGGTTATGTCATTAAATTTATTTTGCAAGTTAATTGTGATGATATGTTGGACGTGAGTATAATAAGCAAACTACAAATATCTGAGATTTGATAGCCGAATCTGAATTTGAACAAAGTTAATTTCTTTTTTTTTTTTTTGCTACTAAAATGCGAGTATACTTTGTTATTGCATTGATTATATGCAACTTATTCAGTATAGAATTAATATTAATAAGTTATCGAGAAGATTTCGATGATAAATTCTAAGCAAAATATATAAAACTTACATATTATCTAATAAGTATAAAATAATTAGCTTGTAAAGTTTCGCGTAATGCATATGACACGTTAACTAATAATGACAAAAATAGTGTAACTTTGAATTTTCAAATTCAACAAAAAATAGTATAAATTATTACAATGAAACTTCCAGCTAAATTCGTGGGGTCGAGATTATTTTCTTGACTTTGTATTTTTTTTTTTTTTAATTTTGAGTATTTCTTGACTTTGTATTAAGTAAAGTTATTTGCTAAATGTTTAATTTAGAATTAAATATTTGGATGATTGTTTAATTTATAATTAAATATTTTTAATTTATATAAATAAAAATTAAATATTATCTACTTATATCAATATATAATTTTTTTTAACGAAAACTTAAATGTGAAAGATACGTGTCATCGTGCATAAAAAAATAAATTCGAGCTGAATAAGTTTTTTCACGATGCAATCCATTTTTTAATTTAACGTTAGCAATCAGCTCTTCCTTTCTTTCTCTAAAAGAGCAATCGGTTCTTTCTTTCTTTCTTAAAAAATTCTTTTTCAACCCATCTTTAAATCTCAAATTCTCACTATTGTGCTGCTGCTCATTTGCATCTTTTCACCTAAAATTTCATTATTTCTTCTTCTCAAACCCTTCATTACATCTATCCAATTAAATTTCTTTATAGTTGTCAAAATCTAAATCACCTCTGTTTCATTCTTTTTCTCTTTTTGCTTTGCCTTCCAAAAAAGATGAAAGGTGAAAAGATTCATGTTGCTTCCAATGACCATCCTTTCAAAGTCGACAATGAGAGCTACTCCAATTATGGCTCATACTCCAACTTCATCTGCAACCAGCAATTCCTTGTGTTTGTTGCTTCCAATAACCATCCCTTCAAATGGTCCATCTTTTACCTTAAACGTTAAAGAAGCCAAGCAAGGTAAAGGGTCCTAAAAAAGAATCAAAGCTTGACATTTACACAGGCAAAATGTCGATAATCTAAGCTTGACACTGCTACATTTGTCCTACATCTAGATTGCTATAGGTACTACTTGACCTCCAAATGATTTATTGAACCAATGTCAGGTTTTGATCTAATGGGTAACTTTTAACCAAATTTGCATGAACTTGAAATTTAATATTCATATATTGCATTGTTCTTTTCTGGGATCGATTAATGGGGAGCAATGTTCTATCAACGAGCTTCTTTGAGATAAAAAATGTATAAATTTATGCTCACTGTTCTAAACAATCTGTAAGTGAATCATTCACTCAAATTTAGTATCAAAGCAATTTTTGTTTATACTCAACTTATATATTAGGTTTTCCTTTTTAATAGCAAAGAATCACACTGTTTCTCATCAACTTAAATGCTAGCATTATAGTTTAAGTCCAAGTTTTGACTAAAAGTTCGGTAGCCGGTAGCCATGGACGCTTGACTTTGCAACAAGAAGAACAAGTCCTAAGAATAAACTTTTCAATAATGTCTAGAAATTTTAAAGTTAATGAAAACAATAGAGAATAGTACCATTTGACAGCCAAAGATGGGGATTTACACATTCAAAATGTGGTTTTGAATGAGAAAATACTCACTCTAACTTCATTTGGGTGTATCCCTTCGTTGGAACCAATAAATATGAGAAGGGACGACCTTGACTTTCTTTTGGTGTGAAAAAAAAAAGGAAAAGTAATATAGAGAAAAGAAAAAAAAAGCATAAGATTTAGACAAAATAAGAAGAGAGAGAAAATCGTGGTGTAGATTTTATAGACTTGTAGTTCATAAAGAAAAAGAGAAATGAAATGAAATAGACTTAAAAAAAAAACAAAAGCCTTTCCATTTGTTATTCAAGGATTAGAAGCTTAATTTCACATATTTTTATTTGTAATAATTTTTAAACTTAATTGCGAGTATCTTTTACAGTAAAATTTTTATTAAAAAAAATTTTACATTATTACAGGTCAATAACATTTAATTCTTGTTTATATAAATTAAAATGTTTAAATTTGAATTAAATAACTATTTAAATGTTTAATCTCAAATTAAACATTTAACAAAAGTTATTAAAAACCTAATAAACCCCTTTTATTTTTGCATATTTTCTTGGCTTTGTATTTATTTTATTTTATTTTTAAGGAGGTCTTAAAATTTTATGGTCCTATGTTTAAGTTTCATTGTGTGTGGATTTGGTTCAATTTTATATATTTTTTTGGCAAATCTTGAGAAGATTTTATCTGTTTCAGAGTCAAACTTCACTAACAATATACTTCACTTTACGTTCCCAGAACAGACACATGAAGGCTCATGTAAACCTTCCATGTTCTAGGTTCTTTTACAAAGCTTATAGCCTTTAGGGTGGAGCTGGTAACCCATCCTTATCCAAAATGTGGACCAAGGAAGATGGTGGTCTCAAAACTCAATTACATAAGCTCATCTCCCTGCTGTATGGCCCTGCTATCCAATCTGTAGCTTTGTTTGCTCTTCTAGCTACATATTTTACCAAATTAGTATCATGCCTTTTAATTGCAGACCATATATCTCTTACTACTGGTCTTATTCTCCAATCTACCTCCCCAAGCATCCCATTTAGCTATCGAGTTAAAATCATTGAATTTATCCCCAACTTTACTTTGAGGTATTTCATTTTCTGGGCAAGTCTTACCCTTTCTAACTGCTAGTGCCTTAACTTCCTGGCTAGAAGATGCTACCACATTTTCCTCATATCCTCCCATCATACTTCTAGTTTCATCCCTGGCCACCACCCCAATTCCAGCTGACAAACTTCCATCCTTATATGCCCCATCACAATTTATCTTTATCCAACCTAGTTCTGGAGGTTCCCATTTGTTATTCTTGGTTTTTGTATTCTTTATGGCCTTAGCTTTTTCCTTATCATGTATAATTTCCAAGTACTCCATTATTGCACCTTGAGCCCTTTTAACAGTTGCCATTGCCTCTGGTAATTTCCCATTTATACTAGCCTCACATCTGCTCTTCCATATATGCCAGCATACAAAAGATACATAAAGTGCCACATAATTCCTCATCATTTCATCCATATTCTTCATCATCATGACTTTCTTCAACCACTCATCCAATGTTGTAATCTTGTCCCTGTCCACCTTATATCCCACCAACAGCAAACCATAGTCCCTTTGCCCAATTACACTATAACAGAACATATTCAATGACTTTTTCTTCTTTTTTGTAGAAACCACACACAGGTTCTTCACATATTCTTTCTTTCTATAGGTTTGCTCTTGTTGCTACAACATTACTACAAGCTCTCCATAAAAAATTCTTAATCTTATTTGGCACATTTACACTCCATATTATCTTCCAAACACCCTTGTCTGTTTGGTGTGAGGATGATGCTCCCTGCTTGCTTGTTCTCCTTTCTTTTCCTTTACTTGTGTGGTATCCACTTTTGATTGAATATTCCCAACTTTTAATTTTCATCCACACCATTTTGTCCTCTCCACCTTCATGGCATATAGGAATTGCCTTTATCCTTTTAATGACCCCTTCAGGAACCATATCGTTTAAGCAATCCAGTTTCTAGCTTCCTAGTCTTTTATCAATTAAGTTTGACACAATCTGAGGTAACGTGCTTGTTCACCACCGATATTTTGACCTAGTGCATCACTTCTTGGAATCTACCTATCCTTCCATATGTTAATATTATCACCTTCCATCACTTGCCAACATAACTGATCTTTTAAAAGTTTCGACCTTCTAAAATGCTTGCCCAGGTCCACGAAGCCCTTGCTCCTTTCTTTGCTTCCAGGAAAGAACTATTTAGAAAATATCTTCCTTTAAAGATCTTCACCTAGTAAGCTTCTATACTATTCACCAAACCTGTTTTGCCAATAATGCTTTGTTAAACAAGTTTAAGTCTCTAAACCCTATTCCATCCTTGATCTTGCTGCATGTCATACTTTGCCAATTAATCCAATGAATTTCCCTTTCATCTTGCTTTTGCCTCCACCAAAATCCGGCCATTTCTTTATTGATCTACTTAACACACCTTTTTTGTAGCTTGAAACAA